TTTAAGATATTTATTCTAAAATATTTGTGAGAAAGTTACTGAAATCGAATAGAAATGTTACAATACTTATGTATCAATAGCATAACTATTCCCTATTGATAAACTGAAAACTTGCTTATTGAATTTTGCAAGAAAAATTTTATTTTGATACTACATATATATATCATTTATTTTAATTCTAATTCCCTTTGTAGAAAAAGTATCCCTAATGAGCGAAGAAAAAATTCCACTTCTCCGGCATATAATCTTTCAAAACATGTATAAAACAAACTTTCATTATGATACTATATTCAATATATATATTAATTTCTTTTTTGTTAAATATTTGTAATTCATAACCATTCATTGTGTCTTTTATGCAAAAATATCCTTTTTTCCGCATTTAACAAATCTTCCACGGCAGAAAAAAGACCTCTCGTTTGCTTTTTTAAGAAGCAAACTTGTTTTAAAAACTTCATACAGAACGACGTCTTTGTAGATACAAAATCACTATGTATTAACTGGTCCCACCTCCATGTATGTTATTTTACCAAAGTTCTAGTCACGCAAATCTTGTCTAAACTGTATAAATCGGTAACCGTTTTGTTTTCTGAATAGCGTTTTACTATTTCATGTTCCGATAAATAGAAATAGTGAACATTATAGCTACAATAGCTTTGCTGCTCCTTTAACTTTTGAACCGGTATGACTAAATAACGCAACAGAGATTATTTGGCGTTAAAAGTGCAAATTTTACTCAAGTTTGATTTTCTTTTGGAGGCAAGCAGCTTTATAAACTGTTCATTCCAATCAAATGATTTAAAAAAAAATATGTAAATCCTGGACTTAAAATTGTTTGATTAATAGACTTTATGCCCGTTTTGGAAAATGTAGAGGAAATGTTTCCCTGTACTTACCAAAAAATAAACTGAAAACTTGCTTATTGAAATTTGCAAGAAAATTTTATTTTGATGCTACTTATATATATATCGTTTATTTTAATTTTAATTCCCTTTGTACAAAAAGTATCTGTAATGAGCGAAGAAAAAAATTCCATTTCTTCGGCATATAATCTTTCAAAACATGTATAAAACAAACTTTTATTATGATACTATATTCAATATATATAATAATTTCTTTTTTGTTAATACTATATTCAATATATATAATAATTTCTTTTTTGTTAAATATTTGTAATTTATAACCATTCATTGTGTCTTTTATGCAAACATATCCCTTTCTACGCATTTAACAAATCTTCCACAGCAGCAAAAATACCTCTCGCATGCTTTTAAATACTTCATACAAAACGACGTCTTTGTAGATACAAAATGTATGAACTGGTCCAACCTCCATGTAGGTTATTTTACCAAAGTTCTAGTCACGCAAATCTTGTCTAAAACGTCTCCTTCATTTTTGTAAAAACCGTAAATATTGTAACAAGCGGACTGTTTAAGATTTTAAAGTTTTGGCTGATTTCTGGTACCAAGCTACATTTGATCGATAAATAGGCATTATACTATTTATGATGGTATCATTATATGTTTTTGCCTTAGAAAGGAAAAGAAAATCAGCAAACAGTGGATTCTTACATAATTTTATTGACAAATATAAGTCGATTTCTTGTGGCATAATCTATAATTTTCAAAAGCCAATTAATGCCTCAGGCATATTGTGGGGACCCAAAATAATTTTTAAATGATTATCATAAAGTGACATGAAAGTGAATAACCTGCCCATATTAGAGAATCAGAAATATTATCCATCTTAAAACATTATATAAAGCCTATATTGTGCCGCCATATTATATCGAAAGCAATCGTGTATCTGCTGTCTACCATGCCCGTATTAAAAATAAATGTAGCAATCTGAATTCTGACCTATTAACAAATCATCTTATAACTAGTACATCATGCGATTGTGGTTCTCTAATTGAAGATGCCGAACAATTCTTATTCCAATGCCGAAAGTATACAGAAAGAAGCTATTTACAAACACCAGACAATTCCACTCGTTTAATACTAAAAAGCTACTATTTGGCATTGAAAATTTAAACGACTTTCAAAACAAAATCTTATTTCAGCATGTTCAAAATTATATCAAAGAAACAAAGAGGTATACATAAAACGTTACTACATTGTTTGTTTTTTTTACAGTAATTATCTATAGCAAGTAAATTGGGTTATTTTTGCTCATTACAAACAAATGGATATCTGCTTAACAATTGATGGTGGGGATTGGTTGCTGGTAGTGTCGACATACAACACAACTGATACAGCAACATCTCTTATCTTGTTTTCTTTTTTTCCCTCTCTAATCTTTTCATCTTAAAATGTATTGTTACTTAATGCATATTTACTTTAATGTATAACCTTCTTTAATGAAACTGATGTTAAACATTTACAGGGAAGGGCCCACGATAATTTTGAAAAAAAAACTTTTGGCCCAACCCTATTGTATATTGTGTAATTTTGTTGATGTAAATGAATTGACGTTTATTTATATATGTAATAAGATATTATTAAACTAAACATGAAAGTGTCAAATGGAAGAGAGCATGATCTCCGATGTATGAATTCATCTTAGGGTGTTTGAATAATGAAAATTATACTATTTATAAATTAACAACTCTGCTTACCAGTTCTGTTCATAAACAGGCTCTATCAGACAGTGCCTGTAAAAATCAATTTTGCTGTCTTTAACATTCTTTTAGGTTTCTCTTTCTTTTCATATACTTCTGCACGTCTTTTAGGTGATTTATAAATTTGGCGTATTGTTCCAGCGGTGTAACAGATACAACCGGAATGAACAATTGTACATATTATGCACCAGTCAGATGTAATTAAGACAACGCGTCCTTAAAATAATAAAGGTAACTTCCTTTATGGAGTATCGAATTTCAGATAAAGATCCTTCTAAGATAGTAAAATACTTATTAAGTGACCAATCTTCCGGTCTTTCCGCTGATTCAACGAATTTTACAAATGTGAAACCAATGTCTTTTCATTTTTAATTTCATTTGAATCTTCTCACTACATCTGTCTCACTATACTCACAAGTATAAATTTTCGAATATTGGTTGGTAAAAAATAGTCTGGGGACATTGTTTAAACAAAAGGAAATAAGTCTAGTCACTAATAGAACTCGTCGTTTTAATATGATATGTAGAGGTTTATTATATTTGGCACTAAATAAACAAGACTTTGTAAGTTACCAATGTCCCGCCAGGGGAAGTTTTACATAAAGCACAAAATTGTGTTATTGCAAAAGATTGATGTATAGATCTGGACTTTCAATGCAAAATTTAGCTCAAGGCTAGATCTGCAAATGAATTTAACAATACATTTATTACATAAATATAATGAAATAACTCCTCAATATGTGTCAATAGAAATACATTTGTATACTTATCTTGTTATCACTATTCCAAAGCCACAAAATGTGACAAATAAAAAATCAATACAGTATATGGCCAGTTAAATGGTATATTTCGTGTCCAGTCATCGAGCATCAACCAATGACATTTACATACCTTGTAAAAGACTATTTAAGCCTTTGACAATTGAAACATTAACGTTTGAGGTAGGGGTCTAGATGTTGCGCATGACATGTCGTCTTATAATTGTTATCATTTAGGCAAAGTTATTTTGAAGTCCTTAGATTGATGAAAACGTTATATATCACACACAAAGTATACCCTAGAGCAGACCATGTTAAGCTTTAGCACTCAAATGTGACCTTGACATTGAAGGTAGGAGTCTGGCTGTTGCAAACAACATATAGTCCCATTATTGCTAACACCTGTGCCAAGTAATTTAAAATTCCCTTGATAGATAAAATTTATGGACAGGGCACCACCAATACCCTCGATCAGATAATGACCTTTTTTCAGCAAACGTGACCTTGATCTGCATGCGACACATCATATTCTTAATGTGAAAATCCCCTTGATTAAAGAAAGTTATGCACCGAGAAAATACACCCTATAAAAGACTATATTAACCTTTGACCTCTGTGACCTTGGCCTTAGAGGTAAGTGACTGGTTGTTACACATGACACATCGATTTATTATTGTGAAAATTAGTGTCAAATAATTTTAAAATCCCTTGATATTTGAATAAGTTATGGGCCGGACACAAAATACCGGTATACCCTGTAACAAACTATGTAAATCTTGGATCTCCAATGTTGATTTTTAAACACCAAGTGCGACCTTGACCTTGGAGGTAGGGTTCAGGTTGTTGCACATGACGCATCGTCTTATAATTACAAACTTAAAAACATGTATGACATGTTTTTTTCCATATTCCTTTGGTAAATGACATAGTTAAGGACCGGACACAAACATGTGATAGACGGACGAAGCCTTTTTCTATATCTTCCCCTTTTCTACGAAAAAGCGAGGGACAAAAAATACTACAGATAACGGCAGCCACGCCATAAATAAATCATAAATATCACTTTTTGTTTTGCTTGTTTTCTCCAGATATTGGAAAGCAGTTTAATTCTATATTACCCAAGATAATTACTCTTAAATTTAGATATTTTACAAACATTTCTGTTAAAACAACGGTTGCATTACACCGAATCTGTGTTCGTATATTTTTTAATAAAAATGACGTTTGGAATACTCAAATATTAAAATCATTATAAAATGTAAATAATCATTAAGTAGTTCCAAAGGTCAAAAAGTCTTAAACCTGAGAACTTGAATGTCATACATAGATTAACTAAGGTATTTGAAACGGAATGATATGAAAAAAAGGAAAGAAAGAAATTTACTCAAAACGAAATTGAAAATAGATACGTGCAATTTTAACTGATATCAGTTATACGCGTTTAGATTTTTTTCATTCATGTCATTTTGTACAATAAAAATGATTTTTGTTAAAGAATCAGGTAATCAAGTTACTATTAAACATCATCACAAAGCATTAGATTCTCGAAAAATCAATGCACGTCATGTAAAAAAGCAACGTCGGTGGAGTATAATTATAAAAAGAAAAAAATAGATACTTACCAAGGTCGTCAGCGACTATGAAAATGATGTGTGGTGGCATTTTTGCTAAACATTCAGTCATTAAGATATTTAAAATCAGGCTTGTAATCCATAATTTCATATTGCAAAATTTGTGTTTGATCTGCCTAAAAGTAATTGAATATACACGTATGCAAAACTGTATGCATAACCATGCCAAAATCAAATAACGTCATAATAGTAATATTGTATAGAAAAACATATGTTGTTAAACCTTTAACTGCTTTTTTCCGGGTATGTAACATCTTGGTTTTTCAAATTTGCTGCCATGTTATATGTAATTAATGAAGTAAGGAAAATATTTCAATGCAGAACTCGTTGATGTGGAATTCCAAATTAGAAAACGGCCACATACTGCTAATATTCCATTCACTATTTACAATACTGCAGTGTCCCACATATGGAATAATTATGTGAACCTAAAGCCGAAGTATTATTTTTTTAATGTACAATGTAACAGGTCTATTTATAAAACTAATTTATGTCAATTTAAGTGTAAAAAGTTATATGTTTTCATCACCTAACCACCTTTATTTGAATACATGATTTTAATTTAAACTTGTATCTTTGCATAATATCATTTGGTAATCAATGTTAGATGCATTTATTCTAATAAGTTTTTGTAAACATTAAATCTACCAACCACTACTCGCTTGGAATAATGGGTGATGACGTCGTATGAGCTAACTTCTGTTAATTTTTCGATTTGATTAAACTTCAATTATTACTTAAATGTTTTCCTTTAGCTCAAACGACATTCACAATAATAGAAATAAGGAATAACATGACGGTAAAAATGGACTTAGACGAAGAAAATTGATTACGAAATAGATTGTTTTGTGCATTTGCTTTTGATATTTCAAAAATTTAAACGTAAAGTTAAATAATAGACTCAATATTATAATCCTTATGATTCTATTTACATGTTTCGTTAGATACGATATGCAGATAAGCCAGTTTCAGTTCGGGCGAGTATCTTTTTAAAAGATACTTTTTGCTTTTTTTTGTTGTTATTGTTTATATGTTACTGTATGTTAATGTTTAATAATAATGAAATAGATGTCCTTTGATACATTTGATACATTTGTCAATTATACATACACCTTATGTAGAAAAACGTTTTAGAAGACCTACATCCATACTATATAAGCAATAATATACAAAGTTGATGCTCGCGGCACATATTTCAGTCGCTTTGCTCATGTCTCAAAGTAATGGTGTACCTGTATTTTGCTTTCCCTAATTCCGTTTGTTCACCTAGGATTGTGCTAAAGTACGGTTGTTGATATATATGATTTTTACAGTGTAAATTTTTGGGATAACGCGAGTTTAGTTTCATCAAATAAATACTCCGGTGCAATGTATTGCAGAATAACAACAATCACTTTATTAGTAATTTTAATCTTACGATATCAAAAACATTCGGATTTCTGTGTTTTTGATGTTGTTGCAATTTATATTAGAAATTGTTCTACATTAATTGCAGAAACAATTCATAGTGTTCCGATCATGTCACACAGTCATTGGGTGTATATAAATTTCATTGTAGTTATATAAATGTTACGGTAATTTTTCTATATGTAAGCATAATACGACAACGTTAAATAAACCTTGACCATTGTAGGTATTTCATATGTGCAATAAATACAATATCATATCCATGATATTGAAAAACATATGATTTTATCGTTTCAAACATTACTTGAGTATTTGTATATCTATATATTGTAATTGTAATGATTTATAGTAGCTTTGATTTAGTTGAAAACTTTGTTTTATGCATCGGAGTATACATTACTAAAGACATAATTGTAAAACATCTTACTAAAGAACTTTGAACACGGATGACATTCTAGTTTATGTTTCATAATAAAATATATTTTGTAGAATCAGTATGGTCTAGTTTGATAAAAGGATCATTCATAAAAACATGTTGGCCTTAGATATCACAGGCACATTGTTCGTAACCAGCAGTTCGGTTTTTTCTCTGGAATGCATTCGCGCATAAAGCTGCATCTTGTTGAGGGTCTCATAAATGGAATCTTTCTACAGTGATCTACCAACTTCATGGTTTGTCGAAAACACTTTTTAAAATTAGGTTTTTCAAGAAATCCTTGCTTTTCAATGTTGCTTAAAATGTCTTCATGTTCTTGGGGGCTTTCAAAGGAGTTTGCAAACATCGGTTTCCGATTGATATCATATCATTCCAAATCATCATACATTGTTTGCCGATTGTTTAATTCGAAATGATCTGCAAAGAGATTTAAAAACAAAACTAAACTAAAAACTGATAAAAACAATCACAGGTCCTTCTTACAGATTTAAGAGTTATAATATGCATAAATTAATATATAGAAGCTTTCTAGTACAAGATTGTTACCTTTTCGGCTGACCTATCTTACTATATGATAAACACATCAACCTATGGACATACTATATTCTTCATTAATACTTAGTCGTGCTTTTTTCTTGAAGTAAAAATGTGTTACTTTTGCAAATTAAGCAAGTACATTTGCTGTCGCCTCTTTTGTGAAAATGGAAACTTTTTGTTCTGTTAATTAAAATAAAAAGCCTATGCAAGGACAAAACCAAATACTGTTAAGTTTTGTATTTGAATAAATTATTATGTGTAATGTTTGACATTCTAGAGAATAAATGTGTATGATATAAGACACTCATAGACATTTACAGTGAGGTTTTTAACTTACAAAGATTTATTACTACTGTTGACAATGAGACTTGATAACGATCAAAGCACTGCTTGTCTAGCCCATTTTCACGTATAATGATGTTCGTGTTTTTCTATATTGTTCTAGACTAATAATATTATTCAATAGTTCTAGACATTTATTTCATTGTGTTGACATTTCATCTTTGACAAGCAATGCTCATAGAAAAAATGTTAATATTAGTAAAAAAATCAAATGTGAACTTTGTTTAAGACGAGACAAAAAGTTGTTGAGATGTTTTTTGTTGTTTTTTTCTTCTCCCTCCATTTATCAAATAAGCTGTACAGTGTTGCGTGTTTACATAGTTTAACATTATAAGACAGTGAGTAAACTTGTAAACATTTTAGAAAACACTGATATTGCGCTTTTTGAAGTCTGAAACGTATCTGCATAAGTCGAATTTCGTTGAAAAATATGGTCATCTTTCTGCATGCCAAGTAACATGTCCGGGAGATTGCCGCGGGTGCATTTTCAACGTTATAATGTGGTACTTAGTGTGACGGTAGTATCAAGTTAAAAGCGTTTCATTCAAAACAAAACGAGTAACTGTCCTTTACCATCCACCGTATTCTCCAGACTTTACACCCTGTAACATTATCCTCTAATTTAAACCAACATCATGCAGGTCATCCCTACTGAAGTAGAAATGGACTTGGGTCAGCCATTATCAGATATTGAAAGGTATATCTAAGGATCCTTTGAAGTATGTAAAGTTTTGATTAACCGTCTGAAACTTTGTGTTACTGTAGGAGGAGACTATTTTGAAGGGTTCAATTATGTAAAATAATTGCTCTTTGTTAAACTCATTATACAATATTTATATCAATGCTAACAACTCAGACTGTGATAATAGAAAAACTTATCTGTAGAGAATAACTTCTATGAACTACTTACTATTGATTAAATCTTATACAGGATAAAAGCAAATGTTGTCACATTATTATGATGTTCGTGTCTAGCATCTCACGAATGTCAAATCAAAACGTGTGTCATTTTTAATCTGCTTTAACCTAGGTGGAGGACAATCGATGTACCACATTTGAGGAACGCAAATATTATTAATATCAATTACAGTACAAAACCTCAATTAAGACAACCATCAGGACTGGACCAAAGTGATCTTTATTGCAGGGTGATCTTAATTGTGGACATTCTTATTGTTGCTTACACACGTTATGACCAGGGCCTATAAGTATCTTAACCTGCAAATACAATATGAAAGTATGTTATAATGTTACATCTGATGGGAGAATCACGGACAATCCCCCTCCCGGACGATTCCCCTTCCATATTATTTTCACAACACGGACATTTCCCCTCTCGTTATTCTTATAGGGCGGACTTTGCCCCTCCCGTAAATTTTACAGGGCGGACAATTCCCCTCCCGTTATTTTAGCAGAGCGGACAATTCCCCTCCCGTTTTTTTCACAGAGCGGAACGTAACATTATACGGCCCTTAATCATAGCTGCCACTGCGTATAAAAAATCTATAAACATTCTTATTAAAGATGACAGTTTTTACTCTTAACAACAAACTGTTAAAGATCGGAACTTTTAACAATCATTATTTGACAAAGGTGACATCATGCCGCCTTTAATCATTGCCGCCGCTGCTTAAGATAAACACACTGTCAATAAATAATCATTAATCATTGCCGCCCTTAATTAAATGTGTCCTTAATTGCAAAACCAATTTTTTACAAAAATTAATTATCGTTAAAGCAGATCACAATAATTGTTTTGTAATTAGTGTACAAAAAGTATTTACTATTTTATAATTAGTCTATTATTAAAGATGACAGTTTTTACTCTTAACAACAAACTGTTAAACTGAAATCATTTATAATATTGTCAAATCTGTCTTCAAATCACTTCCAAAATGGAAATTATTACAACAAGAAACGGTACCAAAAAACTTTGTCATGATGGATACGTTTATACCAAGAAGAGAGCAACAAAATCTACTATACGATGGGAGTGTTCCCAGAGGTACGCCCAAAAATGCAAGGGTGCTGCGTTGACAGACTTGAAAGTAAGTTTTAAGGAATAAATAATTAAGTAATAATTAAGTAAAGACAGAAAATAATTAGAACCAATTTTAACTATTCCTACACTCCTACATTTTTGAGCCATTGTACAAATTAATACGTATTTTAAAAACAAATAGTATCTATTAGAAGTATTAAAACCACAACATAATTTGTTAATACTTGTCGTGTATATTTTTGTATAATATAAATAATTTAAAGTTGTTATAAATTTATTCCTTTTGTAGATGACAAGGGTTCATTCAGTAACTTCTCACACACACAACGCAGATAAATTTGCAGAAGAAGCCATAAAAATTAGAACGGAAAAAATGAATGCAGCTGATGCTAACAGAGGAAAACCTGGTCAGATTATTGCTGATAAACTGCTCCACTGTCCATTGCAGGTA